ATTATAGAGGTTGCATTTATGGAGGTTTATATTACAGTATTATTACAAATATTTTTTAAAATTATATAATATATATAAATTGTAATTTTTTAAAATTTTTAATTTTGATAAAGTATGGCAACTTAGTGTAGTGGTCTAGTCATCACCCTCTCCAAGTGGCAGGTCTAGAGTTCAAATCCCATAGATGATGATATTTAAAAAATAAGCTTGTGTTTCAGTTGATAGCTATACTTATTGGTTAGATCTAAAACTAAATCTGTAACTTTGGTCATACTATCTAGTAATGAGAGCTTTGGCACAATAAATCTAAGGAACTAGTATAACTAAAAATCTATTTGGGAAGTTTGAATTTGAAAATAATAGTGATTTTTGATAGTATACAGGAGGGCTAAATTTAAACCCAGCTCAAGATTGGAGAACTGAGCAATTAGGTTTTTAAGTGTAAACACACTAGCTGAACTACCAAGCTGACATACTAAAGGAAAAGGGCATATGTTTTAAAAGTATAAACCAAAAAGAGAGCAACTGTAAGGCATCTAAAGCCTGAGCAGATTGATACTTTCAGGTTGTTAACTGAAAATAAGAAAGGGACCAATAAAGAATCCAGATAAAAAGATGATTTCAAGTATAAGTACTGGGGTTGTTATAAACCGAATAAGAGCAAGAGTAAGTAATAGGCAACTAATTAAAAAGGTTGTAGTTTCAAATGATCATGTTGCAGATGCTTGTGGTAAATTATATACTATAGGAAACAAAAGCAGGATTGAATTATTAAACCCAATCATTGGTGTCTAGGTTTTTGAGTATGAGATATCTAATATTCTAAATAAACCATTTGAATCAATCTTCGGCTATATTCTCTCCTTACTTAAGGACTTTTCTGCATATCGTTATCTTGCTCTTCAGGATATTATAAGTAGTGCTAAAGTTACATCTAATAACAACAATACTCTTACTGCTAATAATTACCTTACTAGAAATAATGTAATTTGTTTTGAATTGATTTCCAAATGTAATTCTTATTGGATATTGCATTATGAAGCTTTATGCAAAGCTGAAGTAGATGTATCTAATAATTTACCTAAAATGATTCAACAACATTTTTGCAGCTTAAATGAATATTTCTATACTAGCTTTTATGCTATTTCACATTTTTATTGTATTTGGAGAAGTGGACACTCTAGATTCTGTAAAATTTGTTTCCAAATTGAAATTATATATCAAGCTTTATATTTTCTTTTCTCATGGTTTACTTTGGTAAATATATTATAAAACTATATAGAATTACTCTATTTATTTATTATTAATATTAATTTATTGTTTCTCTAGAGCATTTTTTGCTTATCTTTTTTTATTTTGAGAATTATAACTGATTTGCAAAGTTCAGCAAGCGGTACCAATTTATTTGTTCCTTTATTTTATATTTATATTGTGATCATTAGCATATATTTTATTTTTGTATTTGTTGACAAGCTTCAAATGTAAGTTTAGTTTCTCTTAATTTTTTGATGTTGACTTTATATTAAATAACAAAATATATTTATTTTTAAACTAACTATCGCTATTATTTAATATATAGAGCTAAATGGCGTGATATAATTCCATTGACTTTTTTTATTATGCTTATAATTTACCTTCTATTCAATATTTTTTAGTTGATAAATAATGGATTTACAAAACCTCCTAGTTATTCTTATAACTATAGTGACTTCAGATATGAATTTAATGGTAAAGGTTATTCTAGTAGTGCAAATTTTAATAACAATACTTGGTGCAATTGTGATTATTATAATGATGGCACTCGCATATGTAATAGTAATAATAATATGAATATCAATACTTATCCCTTAAACCGTATTCCAGGCAAATTTGCCTGGAAAATTGAAAAGTATTTACAAATTTTTAAATAAAATTAA